GCGTTAACCGGCCGCCGGGAAGTTGTACTTTTTGCAGAGAGGCGGATGGTTCTATATACTGACTCGCTGCCGCTGAGAGCCTAGGGCACTGCAGTTCCAAGGGCTCTTGGGCGAATCAGAGCGAGGGACTCTAATCTCAAAAAAAAAAAAAAAAAAAAAAGTACAACTTCCTAGTAACCATTTTTGAATGAAACTCCTCCCAAAGCTGTCATGTTGCCCGCCCTCTTACATTGAAAAAGAACTGGAAACATACCGTTTAACCTTTTCTCTTGTGTGACCTAGTGTTATCTTTCAGGGGCCTGTTTTCCCACATAAAGTTTTTCCCTTTATTTTCTTCTCCCTCTTTTTTTTTTTTGAGGAGGGAGTTCTTGCTCTGTCACCCAGGGCTGACAGTGCAGTGAGAATCTCGGCTCACTGCAAGCTCTGCCTCCCGAGTTCACCCATTCTCCAGGCATCAGCCTTCCGAATAAGCTGGGACTACAGGGCACCCACCCACCGACCGGCTAATTTTTTTGTATTTTTAGTAGAGACGGGTTTTTACTTTTAGCCCAGGATGGTCTCGATCTCCTGACCTCGTGATCCGCCCACCTCGCCCCAAGTGTGGGATTTACCAGGCGGTGAGCCACCGCACCGGTCTTCTCCCTCCATTGATAAATGGATTCCTAAATGAAACACCAACTCTTTCTTTTTAAAAAGAATTGTGGTAGGCTGGGTAAGGTGGCTCACACCTGTGATCCCAGCACTTTGGGAGGCCAAGGCGGGTGCATTACCTGAGGTCAGAAGTTCGAGACCATCCTGACCAACATAGTGAAACCCCATCTCTACTAAAAATACAAAATTAGTCACGTGTGGTGGTGCAAGCATGTAATCCAGCTACTCAGGAGGCTGAGGCAGGAGAATTGCTTGAACCGGGGAGGCAGAAGTTGCAGTGAGTAAAGATCACCCCATTGCACTCCAGCCTGGGTGACAAGAGTAAAACTCCATCTCAAAAAAAAAAAAAAAGAAAAGAAAAGAAAAGAAAAGAATTGTGGTAAAATATACAGAACATATTTACCATTTTAATCATTTTTAAGTATCCAGTGGCATTAAGTATATTCATACTGTACTTAATGTACATCCCCAGAACTTTTCTCGTCTTCCCAAACTGAAACTCAGCAAATCTATCTTAAATGTTCTCTGCTGACTGAGGTATGGACATGGCGGTGTCAGGAAAAAATTAATGTCCCATAAAACACATGTCATTCTTACCGACACAGGTCATCTTGGCTGTATCCAAGTGATACCCATCAAAGCAATCACAGGTGTAACCTTCCTGGACCCTCACACAGCGACCATTTTCACATCCATTGAGGATGCCGCATTCCTCAGCCTGTAACTCCTCAAAGCTATTTAGAAAACCTGAAAAGGAAAGGGCAGAAGCTAAGTTAGACCTTTTCAACTTCCTACACCATTTTTTAAATGATATTTAGATGATGGTTCGTTTTCTAAATAGACCCATATATGTCCATATATATTTTAGACATCTTAAAGTTAGCATTAGAAATACTCAACGTAGCTGTGTAAAATAGCATAAAAATAAAAAAATTTATATATTTTCTGCAGAGTAGCCTCATATTTTGAATTCTGATGTTCTATGTTAAAATCACATAAAATGAGAAAGCAAGTACGGTTTTTGTTTTTGATCTTAATTATTAAAAGTGTTCATCCAAAGTTCCAAACTTCCTGAGTTCGCAGTAGGGCAAATGTCAGATTCTCAGGACAGAACCGACAGAATTCACTATTGGAGTCTAGTAAGCATTTGCTAAGAAGGTCCGTAAGAGCGTGAGGCAATACATTTTCAGCTGGAGTTTGTAAGACCAGGGAGAAGCAGGCTGGCCTTGCCATGTGTTTGTTTGCTCTGGCTACGGAATGAGCCTTACAAAAGGGCTCCCAGGGGATCAAAGGACAAATTCAGTAAAAGGGCCTCAAAACATCCTGATAAATGAGAAAGAACATCATACTTGTGTTTAGAAAACCAAAAGTCTGGGCTTGTGCCTATAATCCCAGCACTTTGGGAGGCTAAAGCGGACGGATCACCTGAGGCCAGGAGTTCAAGACCAGCGTGGCCAACATGGTAAAACCCTGTCTCTACTAAAAATACAAAATATTAGCTGGGCGTGGTGGTGGACGCCTGTAATCCCAGCTACTCGGGAGGCTGAGGCAGAAGAATCGCTTGAGCCTGAGAGGTGGAGGTTGCAGTGTGCTGAGATCACAGCCACTGTCCAGCCTGAGCAACAGAGCGAGACTCTGTCAAACAAACAAACAAAAACAAAAACAAAAAACAAAGTCTTTTTTTAAGGAAACAAAGAAACTCTTGTTTGGCTCTTTTTATAGTTTAGATCTCTTGAAACCAAGTCAGAGCTAGATTTCAGAGTTTTTGTGATATAAAAACAATTTAGCTAGGCATCAAGAGTGTTTAGCTCTCATTTTGCAGGGGAAAGTTCTAAACATAAATCCACAGTGACCCAACACACTGTCATATGGCCTTTCATCTCCTCTCTCTTCCCAATAGTACCACAAAGTAGCTTCAAAAAATTAAAATATGGCTAGAACTTTCTATCTGGCCTTTGAAGTAATTCTCCAGTGGAACCGCAGGGGGCAGCAAAATATCATTGCTTATGGAGGGCAATAAGGTCTAACTCAGAGGAACTGGACAAGGATATGGAGTTTGGTCTCGTTGGTCACCAAAAAGCAACCAACTTAGCCAGCTTTTTTTTTTTTTTCTTTTTTTTTCCTAAACACGGAAATAAAGACTTACTTCTCCTTTTTTTTTTGGAGGTTATAACAATCTTATATATTTATTTATTTATTTATTATTATTATACTTTAAGTTCTAGGGTACATGTGCATAATGTGCAGGTTTGTTACATATGTATACTTGTGCCATGTTGGTGTGCTGCATCCTACTTCTCTTAACAACAACAAAAAAGAAGTTTCAACAATGACTAAAGTGCCTGGGGTCAACATGGAGACAAATTTGGTCAGAGTTTCTCTTATATTCTAAGATTAGGTGCCCTGAGGGGAGATAGGTGAAGAAGAAACTTTAGATCATGCCCTTCAGAGAAGAAAGTGGGTTTTAGACATGATCTAAAAATATACAATAAGTGAATGTTAAATTATCTCTGGCTAAGAACAATACAATGGTCCTGGGGGATGTGAGTTCTCATTCCCATTTCACTATGTGTACATTATAAACTTGGGCAGAAAGCTTATTTTTCTCACTTATGAAATAAAAGCACTGAATTTTATGATCTCTACAGCCCCACTCAATTATAGGTTTATTTTGTGGAAATGAACCATGGGATTTGAATCAGAGGAACTGGGTCTTCTGCTCATGCCTGTGACCCTGGCCAAGTCACTTGATTTTGCTGAAACCAGGTTCCTCATTTAAAAATAGAGAAACGATGCTACGTAGAATGGCAGACCCAATGTTGAACACAATGACTGCACTCAGTAGGAAGTATTTTGTAATGAATGAACACTTTTCTACCTTGTAAAGACTAAATGAGATTTGGCATAAGTTTGGGGGATAAAAAAGAAAATATGGTACATATACACCATAGAATACTATGCAGCCATAAAAAGGAATGAGATAATGTGTTCTGCAGGAACATGGATGGAGTTGGAGGTTATTATCCTTAGCAAATTAAAGCAGGAACAGAAAATCAAATACCACACGTTCTCACTTGTAAGTGGCAGCTAAATGATAAGAACTTATGAATACAAAGAGGGAAACAACAATGACTTTCCTCACAGAATTGGAAAAAACTACTTTAAAGTTCATATGGAATCAAAAAAGAGCCTGCATTGCCAAGACAATCCTAAGCAAAAAGAACAAAGCTGGAGGCATCATGCTACCTGACTTCAAACTATACTACAAGGCTACAGTAACCAAAACAGCATGGTACTGGTACCAAAACAGAGATACAGACTAATGGAACAGAACAGAGCCCTCAGAAATAATACCACACATCTACAACCATCTGATCTTTGACAAACCTGACAAAAACAAGAAATGGGGAAAGGATTCCCTCTTTAATAAATGATGCTGAATAAATGATGCTGGGAAAACTGGCTAGCCATATGTAGAAAGCTGGAACTGGATCCCTTCCTTATACCTTGTATGAAAATTAATTCAAGATGGATTAAAGACTTAAATGTTAGACCTAGAACCATAAAAACGCTAGAAGAAAAACTAGGCAATACCATTCAGGACACAGGCATGGGCAAGGACCTCATGACTAAAATACCAAAAGCCATGGCAACAAAAGCCAAAATTGACAAATGGGATCGAATTAAACTAAAAAGCTTCTGCACAGCAAAAAAAACTACCATCAGAGTGAACAGGCAACCTACAGAATGGGAGAACATTTTTACAATCTACCAAATTTACAATTTTACAATCTGACAAAAGGGCTAATATCCAGAATCTACAAATAACTTAGACAGAGTTACAAGAAAAAAATCAAACAACCCCACCAAAAAGTGGGCGAAGGATATGAACAGACACTTCTCAAAAGAAGACATTTATGCAGCCAACAGACACATGAAAAAATGCTATCATCACTGGCCATCAGAGAAATGCAAATCAAAACCACAATGAGATATCATCTCACACCAGTTCGAATGGCAATCTTTAAAAAGTCAGGAAACAACAGGTGCTGGAGAGGATGTGGACAAATAGGAACAATTTTACACTATTGGTGGGACTGTAAACTAGTTCAACCATTGTGGAACACAGTATGGCGATTCCTCAAGGATCTAGAACTGGAAATACCATTTGACCCAGCCATCCTATTACTGGGTATATACCCAAAGTACAAATCATGCTGCTATAAAGACACATGCACACATGTGTTTATTGCAGCACTATTCACAATAGCAAATACTTGGAACCAACCCAAATATCCATCAATGATAGACTGGATTAAGAAACGTGTTGTGCACATGTACCCTAAAACCTTAAAGTTATAATATAATAATAATAAATAATAATAATAATAAAAAAGAACTTCTCATGTAACCAAATTACACCAAAAAAAAAAAAAAAAAAAAAGAAGGAAACAAAGACACTAGGGAGGGTGGGAGGAGGGAAGGAGGCAGAAAAGGCTTAACTATTGGGGTACTGGGCTTCATACCTGTGGTGATGTAATAATCATGTTACAAACAAAGCCCCATGAACATTGTTACTATGTAACAAAACCTTCACATGTAACCCTAACTAAAGTTAAAAAAATTTGTACCATTAAAAAAATCGAGGTAATACCATCCATGGCAGGCCCATTTTAAAACTTTAAAGGAGACAAGAGAGCCCACGGCTACGTCAGGAGCTGAGGCAGGAAGAATCTCCTGAGCCATGAAGTGGGGAAAACCCAAGTCGGGCAATAATAGTGAGAACTCCTATTTCTCAAAAAAAAAAAAAAAAAAA